TGGGCGTTCGGGTCAGCCATCCTTCTTTACAGCGGCTTTAAGCTTGGAAGGCTCCCGTGCACAGAAACTGCAAATCCTGCGACTGAGCGGAGTAGCGTGGCGAATGCTAGGACAATCACTCTTTACGTGATAGCAAACGCCCCTAGACGTAAAGAAAAGTTCTGGCCACTCTTCTGGCTTTGCCAAGAAACGAGCGTGTAGGTACTGACCAACCCCAAGGCAGACGCACCCTACTAGAAACCCTGCGGCGAAAGCGACAGCGAGTAGTCTCTCCAAGAGCTGCTCACTATCCTGCCCGCTTGGCGAGGAGAAAGAAACCATGGCATCCTTGAAAGCCTGGAGACCGTAGGGGTCCATTCCGGCGGGACTACCATCCACAGGAAAAATTTCGAGGCGAAATGGCTGAGCAGAGGAACTTAATCACTCTAAACCCTCCAAAACCCTTCTACACAGTAGATCCGGATAGTGTTGAGTATCCCTGAGCACAAAGCGCAGAGAGTGCTCATGTTTCTTGTCGCATCTCAAAGCATCCAGGTGTGCCGCAACCCTGTCATGTGTGATCATAACCCTCCAGCGCTTCGACACCGGAAGCCCGTCACACCCCTGAAGCCCCACAGAGCACGCATCCACAAGAGTCTCGTGGATCGGATACTTCTGTAGCGTAAAGTAGTGCTTTGTTTGCTTCCATGTCCAGTAAGCGCATCTCACTGGCCACTCGATGGCCCAGTGATCGGAAAAATCACACATTTCGCTGACAACGGCCCGCAGCTTCCGATGCACAGCCCATGGCCATCAAGATGCTTCTGGTTCTCAGCTCCATACCTCTGAAGATGCATCCGCTGGTAAGGGCATCCTCCTGTGCACGGCGTCGAACTCCAAAAGAAAACCCTCACGCCGCGACCCCTTGCTTCCCTTGCGATGTCGAGAAGATCTCCTCGAGTCTCCTTCTTCGTGCCATCGTCCGAAGCAGTCACCGTCAACACGTGGATCTTTGGAAACTCCCTAGCACAGACCCTGGAAAACCCTGACTCCAGTGGCGCGCAGAACTCAACAAACAGCCACTTTTGTCCCTGCTTGGGCCGAAACCGCTCCCTCAACGAAGAAACCCCCTCTTGCGCAACGCAAAAACGCAAAATCGACATAGCCAACCCCTTTACCCCCTCTGGAAGCAAGGTGGAGCGCAAGCCGATGTGATGCATATGCCGAAGCGTCGAGGCCAGGTCGAGGTTTTTGGTAAATATATCGGCTGGATTGTCCGTGCCGCGCACAGACACCACACATGGAGGGACTGAGACTGAAACTCCTGCTGAAGAAAACATGATCGTATGTCTATGTGGCGAAGTTTGCGAAGGCCCTCGATAGCGACGGCGGCTTCACTGTCACAGTAAAGCAGGGGCACGACTGGGTCGCAACCCAAGATGTGTTCGACAGCGCACCTCGCTCCCAAAGCTTCTTTGGCACCCTCGACTGACAGAGCGACCGACTGCTGAAGCCTCGCCCACGTTTTGATACAGGCCTTCCCCAACATAAGGCAGCCGCCCGAAATCGACCTCCGGTCGACGGAGCGCTCACTACCCCACGAGGCGTCCACATTGGAGTGGAGCTTGAGCTCTTTTTCTTCTTGGCGCGGGAAGAGCTGAAAGTAGTTCACCACGGTCTTGAGGTGTCTAAGTACCGCTCGCATAGCTCGTTCATGCACCTCCTGAGGCGAGCTCTGGCCCCGAGCCAGAACCGAAACGTAGTAGACCAGGTCCCCACGTGTGGCGCTGAGCCAGCTGAGCTTTCCCAAAGCTCGTCGATATCTAGCCGCGGCCTCGGCGGTGAGAGGAACCCTCAACCCCGGCTCATCCAGAGCCTTATCAAGCAAATCCCTCAAACAAGGCGGTGCGGGGCATTCTCAAGCTTGTACTCTTCCAGAACATCTTTCATATATCCGGGATCCATTCCAAACTTGAGGTCCCCGCCCTGTTCTGACCGAAAAATCTCTCTTCCTAGAAAGTGGATCTTACCATCCTTTGCGAGGTCAGCCGTGACCTTGAGTTTCGGCTCCTTGCGCAAGGACTCCACCATTTCATAGAGATCTTCAGTGCTCACCCCTGCTAGCAGCAAATCATCGACGTAACTGAGTATATAGATTGGTTTGCCCTTGTAGGACCCAACGAACAAACACGGTTCCGCGGGACACGCAGTCATCCCAAAGAGCTTCTTGAGCAGACCGGCCAGATGTCG